CACCGCTCATAAGGCCACGCTGAGGTGGCGTCCCACATGCCACAACTAGAAGGACCCACAACTAAAATATACAACTGTGTACTACGGGGATTTGGGGAGAAAAAGCAGAAAAAAAAAAATGGAATCTGAGTCCCGAAGCTGACTCAAGACACACCACCAATTTACAGGAAACGCAGAGGAGAGAGGAACACAGTAAGAAATACTTTGCAATCAGCAGAATCCGCGATATGCGAAATAAAGAGAACGAAAGACTCGGTTTCTTAATAAATAAAACTGCAAGGAAAAAAAAAAGAGAGAGAGAGAGAGATGGGAGGAGCACGTCACCTACAGATGCCAAGAAACATCAGAGAGAGCCGCCAATGGCAGTGGGTCACCCTTACTTAAATCCTGATGAAAACAGGATGTAAGAAGAGACAGCCTTTGAGATGTTCACAGAAATTGGAATACTGATGGGTTATTTGATGGCTTGAAGGATATTAAGGTGTGCTAATGGGAATGTTACAATTGTACAAAAGTCTTCATCTTTTTAGAACTGTATGTTCAAACATTTATAGGTGAAAAAAAAAAGCAGATGTATTGAACCTCAATCCGAACACGCCTGTAGTTAACGTGTAGAGGGTGAATGAAGGATAGAAGGAGACAAGTTAAATAATACCATGAGAGGCCGGCCCAGTGGAGTAGTGGTTAAGTTCACATGCTCCACTTTGACGGCCTGAGGTTCGTGGGTTCGGATCCCAGGCACGGACCTGGCCCTGCTCATCCAGCCACAATGTGGCAGCGTCCCACATATAAAATAGAGGAAGACTGGCACAGATGTTAGCTCAGAGACAATCTTCCTTGAGCAAAAAGAGGAAGATTTGCAACAGATGTTAGCTCAGGGCCAATCTTCCTCACCAAAAAAAAATAATAATAATTAAAAAAAAATATCGTGAGGAAGGAAGCACTTGGAAAAATCGCAAACACAAGACTTTGTACAGGATAATTAACCCAGATTTTCAATGAGTCAAGGGCAGCAGGAAGCCCAGAGGACTGCCTGTCTTGGGTTAGGAGAGATCTAGCAAGGCGTGGACCTCATTGTACTCGAAATGCAACCAACTTGGCATCAAAGAGACATTTTTAAGACAGTGGGAAAATGTGAATGTGGACTGGCCATCAGTTGGTCTCAAGAAATTCACACTCATCATCCCGGATGCAGTGGGACGAGAAACACCCACGATGGGATCCGGGATATGCTTCAAAACACATCCTCGGGAATGGCGACCAGACACGTTGGCCTGGATCAAGTAGCGTGGCCAGGCCGTGGTAATGGCTTCATCTGGCTGTGTGGAGATTCCTGCGCCCAGCCCAATTTTGTGCGGGTAGGAAATGTGGCATCGCGGAAACACCAAAGATTTCCTTGCTGGCTGTTCCGCTCAGGAAGCATCGAGCACAAAGGCCGCCAACACTTCTCTTTCCTGGTGAGGTCTGCGACCCGGGGTCTCCATTCTCTCCCGCGCTTCGGAGCACGACGCTTTGTGGGGTAAATGTTCATCGACTGACTTTAGCCGAAGTTTTCCAGACTACATTCCTGTTCACGGCCAGCGCTGTTATTTAAGACTCTGAATTCCCCCACCTTCCTTTTTCTACTTTCTTTTTTTTTAAAGGCAGTGATGGCAGTTTGGTAGGTGGAAAGTGACTGTCACTTGCTGTGAAGGAAACTGTAAAAACTAATACACATCAACGCTAGCACCCTGGTTCTGATACTGGACGCCGGATGAAGGGCACGAGGGGACCTGTCTCCCACCTTGGCAATTTCCCGTTAGGCTCTAATTCATAAAAAGTTTTTAAAAATATGTAATTATCTGAAAATGTTCTTCCGTGAACCCCAGAACATGGTCTTTTGTCCCTTGGGGCAGGTGACACTTTGGGAGAAACATTGGCCCAGATAACGGGCCCCCTGTCCCTGGGTGTTGTTGGGAGACCGATCACAGATGCTGTAACACACTCCAGCCTGACTGGAGTCAGCGGAGCTGCCCCTGCATTGTCTGGTCCTCCCCACTGCCCCTTGAGCGCAGTGCTTCCTGGGGGCTTCCCGCATATTCACTCGACATGCGGCCCACCCCGGGCCAGGCCGGGCCCTCAGCAAACAGCCATGGGCCTCCCGCCCTGGAGCTCGTGTTCTCAGCACAGGGGCAGAGGAACCTGATGCAAACTCGGGAAGAGACGGGAAACTGTCCTGGGAGTAAGTTCCACCCCCACGGAGGAGATGCTTGTAGCCTTTCTGTCCACGCTCGTGGAACATGGGGAAACTGAGGCTCGGAGGGCCGACCCGTTCATGCGGGCTGCATGCGGATGGAGAAAGTGGCTGAGTGTGATTTGAGCCCGTCTCACGGGGTCCAAAGCCAGTGCCTGAGCGAGGCTGGCCCCACTCCCTTCCTTCCCCACCTTCCCTCCTTGGGCCTCAGTTTCCCCAGCTGCAAAATGGGGGCGTTGGTCTCCTGGGAACGTGGAGGTGGCGTCCACCGGTGGCCTCCTGTGAATTTCAGCATGTTGGCCCCAAAGAGCTCACGGGGGGTGGTGTTTTGAGTGTCCTCAGAGACAGCAGGAACGAAAAAGGGAAGAATTCCTAGGTACCATGTTCTTGTGGTTCTTGTGGACGTCTGTTCTGGAGCTCCAGCCTCAAGCCAGACCGACTCGCCCCAAACAGAGATGGTCTAAACAGACGCAGGAGCCGGTGGGATCAGAGCTGGGGGATCCGGGGACACCTTCCAACGCAGGCTCTGAGGCAGGGGCCGCCACAAACTCAAAGGCCTCACGGAGATCTAGAAAATTCTCCTCAAAGAAAACGCACTCTCGTAACACAGAGCCCTGTTGTCTTTCATGTTCTCACTCTGACAGCCACCCGAGTGCAGGAGGAAAGCCCGTGTTCTGTTCCTGTTAGCGTGAAGCCACAAGGCAAGCAGGATCCTAAATGGCGGATGACGCCCAGCCTCCATGATGCAGGAACTGCGTGCAGGGGGACCACGGCCAAGTGGAGAGGGCACACCCCATCTCCGGTAGAATGGTGGCATGGTTAAAATGGGGGGCTCGCAGCTTGAATCCCGGGCTTAAGTCCTGCCTCCACCACATAAACTGTGTGACTCTGGGCAAGCACCCCGATCCCTCTTTGAAAAATCAGGGTCCTAACACTGCGAGACATGTTCTTCTGGAATGTTCCAGAAGATCCAAGTTCATCCGTGCAGCATGTCAAGAACAGCGCTGGGCTGGGTAAAAAGCTCAGGACGAAAGGCCAGCCTGGTGGCATAGTGGTTAAGTTTGTGCGCTCCACTATGGCAGCCCAGGGTTTGGGGATTTGGACCCCAGGTGTGGACCTAAACACTGCTCATCAAGCCACGCTGTGGTGGCATCCCACATACAAAATAGAGGAGGACTGGCATGGATGTTAGCTCAGGGCCAATCTTCCTCACAAAAAATATCTTTAGGGGCCGGCCCAGTGGCGCAGCGGTTAAGTGCGCACGTTCTGCTTCAGTGGCCCCGAGTTCGCAGGTTTGGATCCTGGGTGTGGACATGGCACCACTTGACACGCCATGCTGTGGTAGGCGTCCCACATATAAAGTAGAGGAAGATGGGCACGGATGTGAGCTCAGGGCCAGGCTTCCTCAAAAAGAAAAAAAAAATTTAATAATAATAAACCTAAGCCTTTAAAGGAAAAAAAAAAGCTCAGGACGAGTTCATACTGCTGTTGCTATGGGGACATGCAGGCCCCACGTTGCCAAGTCAGGCAGTTTTCAAGAGAGGCTGGAGTTTTTGTGGCATCTCCCAATTTTTGAAGGTTGGCCACTAACTTATGAAAAAAAAAAAAGCGTTAAACACTGCAGAGTCCAAACTGGACACATCGGTGGGCCAAACGGGGCTCGAGGAGCAGGAGGTTGGAGCCTCTGTTCCCAGTCTTGGGGCCACTCGTGGAGTCTGTTCAGCTGGCATTTACGACCAGGCGCTGGCCCAGAGCGGCCGAGGGCAGAGAAATCCGCCACCCGGCCTTTGCCCTCGGAGCTCCCAGACCAGGAGAGGGAGCTCATTATCTTCATCACAATGAGCCCGACAGACCGGCTTCAATGGACGTGGGAACAAAGGGCAGGGCCCCACCCGTGCATGGGGACAGCTGCCCCAGCCCCGTGACCTTTGTCTGACACCCTCAGTGCACCTTGCTCCTCCGAAGGCATTTCCCCTCGAAGCCCGCCAGTTCCAGGAAAGCCTGGAGGCCTGCACGCTGCCACAGTTTCTCTCTCCCTGCTCAGCCATTTCCAGATGCTCCGGTCCCAGCCGTTCGGGGGCCCGGATGGGCCTTTCCCTAAAGTCAGCGAGGCTGGGGTGTAAAATAACCTGGAGAAATTCGCTCTGACTTGCCTGGCGCCGGCTGGCTCCTCTTCACCATCGCTCGGTTCCCCCACGTCCCCGCTTCAAGGGGGCCACCTGGACCACCCAAACCCCACCCCTCTGGGACGGCATTCTGTCTTCCGTTCTTCCCTGGGCTAACCGCTACCAGAAATTTCTCTGTTCTGCACATTCATGGATTGCTCCCAGCCTGTCTGTTGGCATCTTAAGAGCAGCCACCGCGTCTGTCTCGTGAACTCCCGAGGACAGAGCCTGTTCTCAAGAACTATCTGGAGACAGATGGTTGAATCAATAGACGAATGACCAAATATATTCCATCTTTACGGCCCAGAGATGATGCTAAACCCACTTGCCACTCTGGGCAAACAGTTTATCTCCCGGGTGTCAGGAACTGTGCAGGAAGATAGTGAAATGACTTTGTCCCTGCCCTCAGAGAGCTCACCAGCTACTCACCCCCGTTCTAGAAGCTTCCAACAATCTCCTGACTGTCCCTTGATAATAGAAAACTCTATTTCCCTCTCGTCATCTCCTCTCTACGGAGTCACCCCTTCGGATCTCCATCCAAGGTCAGGGGGAAGGAACAGCCTCGTGCCTCGCCACCCCTCCCACACTCTCGGGTCACTCACGATGCGCTCGAACTCCTTAGCCTGCTTCAGCTCCCGGGGGAAGCCGTCGATGAGGAAGCCCCGGCTCTCCGGGCAGGACAGCATGTTGTCGCTGATCATATCTAGGATGACACCCTGGGAAGGAAAGGGGTGACTGGACTCAGTGCCCGGGGGCCCCTCACCCACGCGGTCACCTCGGTCTGCCTCGGCGTGGACCTCAGGTGAATTCCGGGAACACCTGCCCCGCCCGGCGCCCAGGCTTCTGAATCTGCTCTGAGGCCCTGGGGCCTCCGGAAACACTTGTGAGAACTGGGCACAGTGACCATCTGCTGGGCGGGGGTCTGCCATGTCCCAGGCCTGCTGGTCTCATTTACTCATTACTACCACTGACAGGTAGGTCCTGGCTGGCTTCATTTTACAGATGAAGAAAAGAGTGCAGAAAGGCAATGATATATGCCCAGGGTCACAAAGGAAATAAATACTAGCCAATTTTATTGAGTGCTTCTTTTTTTTTTTTTTTGAGGAAGATTAGCCCTGAGCTAACATCTGCTGCCAATCCTCCTCTTTTTGCTGGCCCTGAGCTCACATCTGTGCCCATCTTCCTCTACTTTCTATGTGGGACGCCTACCACAGCATGGCTTGCCAAGCAGTGCCGTGTCCGCACCTGGGATCCAAACCGGCGAACCCTGGGCCACCGAATCGGAACCTGCTCACTTAACCACTGCACCACCAGCCAGCCCTAAGCGCTTCTTAAATGCCAGGCACTCTGCCAAGTGCTTTACAGGGATGACGTCATCCAACCATCACCACTGCAGATTTTGGCTGGGGGTCCAGCTGGTCTCCCATTTGATGGCTGAGGACCCGGAGGCTTAGCCCAACAAACCAGAGCCACGGCCCCCACGGGGCCTTCCCAGGAGGTTCGTCCCCACCTACCCGGCTCTTCCCTCTGCCCCTGCACCCTGATCGCTCACCGTGGGCACCAGGAGCCCCTGCAGCATGATGTCACGGATCTTCCGGCCCCGCCGGCTGCCGCACTGGGCCTCCTGCCGCAGCAGCTGGCCCAGCCCCACGTGGCAGAAGCCGTACTTGGTCGCCATGTTCTTGCACTGCGTCCCTTTGCCGCAGCCTGGGCCGCCCATCACGAAGATGATCAGAGGGGACTTGAGAATGTCTGCAGTGCCCAGGGAAGAGGGAGAGGGGTTGGTGCCTGTAGGGGCCACCGATGTGACGGTGTCCAGGGCTCTGTGCGTTTCCTTGGGTGACACTGGACACAGGTCTGCAGGCATGCCCACTTTTGCCCTGGGGTGGCATCTGGGGGTGCGCGTGCATGCCCAATGGTATACCCAGGCATGTCACGCGTTAGGGCTGCTGGCGGCTTGCTGTGAAGGAGGATGTGACCCTGAGCAGGCCAGGCCCTTTGCACGTAGCATCTCCTTGACGTATCCTAACGACTCTATCATCCCATTCACAGTTGAGAAACTGAGGCCCAGAGCGGGGCCGGGACTTGCCCATCCCCCTGACTCATCCGATACCACCCTCCCCTTCCTTCACTCCGGTCCAGTCCCCGTGGCCTCCTTTCTGTCCCTTGAACTTGCCAAACGCATCCCTCCCTTTCTGTTCCCTCCACCCAGGAAGTCCCTGCCCCACTGCCTTCCGGTCACAGCTCAGCCATCAGGCCTACTCTGAGCTCCGTCTGAAGAACCTCCCCGCCATCGTTCCCTGTCTCAGAACCCCATTTCCTCCTCAGCGACGGCCACCACCAGTAATGATTCTGCCTGTTGACTTGTTCTTGTCTCCCCAGCCAGACTCTGTTCTCCGTGAGGACAAGGACTATTTCTGTCTCGCTTGTCCCTACATTACTAGTAGATGGCACAGTTCCTGACACAGAGTAGTGGGTGAGGAATAAATAACTGTCCACGGCTACCAGACCCGTCTAGGGAGTACGGTAGTTAATGTGGCAATTTCGGTGTCTTGCTTCTGGCCCCCTTGGCTTAACCAACTCCTATGCATCCCGCAGGGCCCAGCTGAAACCTCCCCTCTTCCCTGAGCCCTCAGAGCCGGCAGCCCTTTCCCTGTGGCAGCCCTGCTCCCTACTGGGTTGCAGATACTATTTTCTGAGACTGTCTCCTCCACTACACTGTCATCTCCAAGAGGATAGGGAGCTGGTTGGACACATTCACCGTGGATTGCCCAGAACGCGCTCGAGCGGATCAATGAATGGCTGCTCCGTGAGCATGCGCAGTTGTGTTACTACCACAGTCGGGGCGGGAGCGGGGCGTGTGCACACCCAGACTTGGGGGATGGGGCACTGGTACCTCCCCCCTGCCCTCCGCAGCCTCCTTCCCTTCGCCCAGTAAGCCAGCCACCCCTGCGACGTTACCCTTCTCCTGGGGCCTCAGGGGCCTGCCCATCTGGGGCAGCTTGGACCTGCACAGACCCATCCCGCTGGCGGCCCGTGGGGTGGTCGCGCCCCATCCCCACCCAGGCCCTGACCCCTCCCTGCTCGGCTCAACGTCACAAGGGCCCCGGCCCGATCATTTAGTGAGATGACGGGGACCCCCGGGGCAGGGGGAGGAAATGAACCCCAAAGAGGCTCGGGGGAGCTGCTTCGGCTGGGAGCAACCGAGAAGGCCTCCGTTGCTATGGTGACGCGGCCTCCTTGGACTGACTTCCGGAGTGGGGTGGCGCATGCGCAAAGCGCCCGAGAGAGGGCGAGGGGAGCTGGTTTCTCCCTCCCGTCCCAGCATGCCCCGCGGTCTGAGAGCGCTGACGACACGGTGAGGCGACCTCAAGCGTCAGGATCAGATTGCCCGCGCCATATAGAGAGGTCAGCGAGAGCGCCAGCGACAGAGGCCGCTTCCTTTAGCTCAGACTCTGCCTGGGCTTACCGTTCTGAAAAGGGACGGGGGCACAGGTGACAGCGCGTCGACGGGTCCACGACCGCGGAGGAGGTTGCCATCGCGACGCGGCCAGCGGGAGAGTTTCGCTTCCGGGTTAGGCGGCGGCGCAGGCGCAGACGCTGCAGTCGCGACCGCCGTCGGTGACGGCCCGCAGAGCTCCGCTTCCGGGTGGATTTTCCCAGGATCGGCGGCGTGTCGGGCTCGGGCTCCTCGATCGGGGCCAGAGAGGAGACACCGCGAGGGCGGCTTCCCCGGGACTGAGGGACGCGGACCCCGCGGGACGCCAGAAGGACCCCGATCGGGCTGGACCCGAGCCACAGACCATCGCCCATGGCGGCCCTGGTGAGTGTGCGGCGGGGTTCGGGAGAGTCCCGGCGGCGGCCTCTGCAGCCCCTCACTCACCGCCCCGCCTGCTCTCCCCGCAGGGCCCCGGCAACCAGAATGTCACCGAGTATGTCGTTCGAGTTCCCAAGTAAGTCCCTGACCGCACCACCCACTACCCCCAAAAAGCGATTAGAACCCTGCCGAGCCTCCAGGCGGGCACGACCTGAAGCGGGGCTGGGCTGGAGCTGAGGCCTCCCTATGGGCATCCCTGGTTTTTGAACGGAAGGATGAATGAATGCATCAGTAGGTTCATGCGCAGTACGATGCAGCCCCCTGGCCCAGCATCTCCTCTGCCGGGAATGCCTTTTCCCGAGCTGTGACCCCACGACTCCTGTGGATCCTACAAAACCCAGTTCTAGTATTTTACTCCTCCAGGAAGCATTCCCTGCGTGCCCGCCCCCCTCCCCAGGGTCGAGTTCCCGGTTATCCCTACATCTTGGGTTCCCACCTTCTGCTCTTCTGCATGGGGTCGGGAGAGTAGGATTCCCTGATACACTGGGAACCTTTGGGGTCTTTGGTGGGTCCCCAGCATCGGCCGGCACAAAGGGCTGAGCCAGGGAGGGTTTGTTGAATGAATGATGGATTGGTTGATTGAGCACTGCCTCTTCTTGCCCACTCCAGAAACACAACTAAAAAATATAATATCATGGCCTTCAATGCAGCTGATAAAGTCAACTTTGCGACGTGGAATCAAGTAAGTCCTGGTTCGGAGAGCGTGAGAGAACCCGATCCTGGGCTTGGCGGTTGTAATAGTCACTAAGACATAGTTTCCTCAGCTCTCCCTGAGTGGAGGTGAAATGATGACTGAGGCACAGGCTGGGCTACTGGACATCCTGTAAGATTTGTCAGGCCCCACAGGAGGCCTTCTCCTAAAAGGAGAACATATGGAAGTTGTGCCCGTTGATGGGCATTTTGGGCCTAGATTTATCTGGGCAAGAGAGGGGGCTGCATTCTACAGATGGTCTCAGGTGCCCCGTTGCCCGAGGCTCTGGGAAGGACTTTGGAAGCTGTCTGAGTCTGTTCGGGAGAGATCGCGTGGCTTGCAAACAACAGAAAGTTAATGCTCACACTTCTGGAGGCTGGGTGTCCAAGATGAAGGTGCCAGCAGATTTGGTGTTTGGGGAGGGTGTGCATCCTCATTCATGGCTGGGCGCCTTTTCACTGTGTCCTCACGTGGCAGAAGGGGCAAGGGAGCATTGGGGGATCCTTTATAAGGACCGTAATCCCACTCACAAGGGCTCCACCCTCACCTCCCAAGGCCCCTCCTCCTGATTCCATCACCTTGGGGGTTAGGTTTCAACATAGGCATCTTAGGGGGACACGAGCATTGAGTGTATCGCAGAAGCCGTTAAAGGGTTTTAAACAGGGAAGTCGTAAAGTGGCTGCTGTGGGGTCAGGGGCCGATAAAGGGAGGCCACAGCTCTGATCCTGGTGAGCGATGGTGGGGCCTGGGGCACGTGGCACTTGTGAGAAGCGGTTGGATTCTAGTGTGTTCTGGAAGTGGAGCCAACAGGGTTTGTTGACAGATTGGATGTTGAGGTTACAGTAAGGACCAGAGCAGAGTTACAGACCACGCCGTTCACCGAGATGGGGAGGGCTGGGGAAGGTGCAGTTCGGATGGAGCATTTGGGAATTCCCTTCCGGGCATCTTACAGTCCAGCCGCTTGTTAGGCCTCAAGGAGGCGACAGCGACTTAGCAGTTGGAGATCTGGGTTGGGAGACTGGGTGGAGGATCTCTGTGTTTTGGGGTGGCAGTTAAAGCCCCAGAGACTGACCCCGCTTAGCAGAGGAGTTGGCCAGAAGTCTGAAGACACCAGCTTCACACCCTCCCACCACTGGGTGACTCTTACTGCTCATCGTATTTATGAACAGTCTTGTCTTTTTTTTTTTTTTTTTAAAGATTTTATTTTTTCCTCTTTCTCCCCAAAGCCCCCCAGTACATAGTTGTATATTCTTTGTTGTGGGTCCTTCTAGTTGTGGCATGTGGGATGCTGCCTCAGCGTGGCCTGATGAGCAGTGCCATGTCCGCGCCCAGGATTCGAACCAATGAAACACTGGGCCGCCTGCAGCGGAGCGTGCGAACTTAACCACTCGGCCACGGGGCCAGCCCCGAGCACTCTTGTCTTTTGACTATTTTAAAACATCACCTCTTGGGGTAGACTCTGTGGCCTGGTGGTTAAGTTCGGTGCGCTCTGCTTCGGCGGCCCAGGTTTGGTTCCCGGACACAGACCTACAACACTTGTCAGTGGCCATGCTGTGGTGGCGACCCACATACAAAAGGGAGGGAGCTCAGAGTGAATCTTCCTCAGCAAAAAAACAAAAGCAAAAACAGAAGCACACTGCTGCCTCCACTTGAGCCAGTGAGAGGCGATAGCTCCCTGCCAGTGTGGACACTCCAGCTGTACACACATTCATACACAAACTAACACACTTTTACCCTCTCCCCCAACCCCTGGCCTTGTCTGCATTATGCAGAGAGGGTGCAATGTTTTCAAACCCCTGATGCCTCAGTCGGGGGACACTCTCTATTGCTGATCGTCCACTAGAGATGGAAGCCACCTTTGGGGACACCCTGCCCCAGACACTCTTCACCCAGAGGAGGAAGTTGATAAATATTCTGGGAACACACCACCCCCCGTCCCTCATCAAGCAGGAGAGCACCCCCCAACCCTAGAGAACCCAGAGGAGCATGTCCCCTAGTCACTCACCTGTGCCCTTGGAGGAGCCATCCCCCTCGTCACCAGTCACCTAGAGGAGGTACAGCGCCTGCATAGTTATCACCTCATGAGCCCTGTGACCTCCCAGCCACTAGTAACTCTGGGGGTTACACGTGTCCTTTCCGTAATCATCATGGGGGGCCTCTCTCTGTCACTAGTCACCCCTTGGTTTTTGTTTTTTTGGTTTTTTTTTTTTTTGAGGAAGATCAGCCCTGAGCTAACATCTGCCACCAATCCTCCTCTTTTTTGCTGAGGAAGACTGGCCGTGAGCTCACATCTGTGCCCATCTTCCTCTATTTTCTATGTGGGACGCCTACCACAGCATGGCGTGCCACGCGGTGCCATGTCCACACCCGGGATCCGAACCAGCAAACCCCAGGCGGCCAAAGTGGAACGTGCACACTTAACCACTGTGCCACCAGGCCAGCCCTGATCACCCCTTGTTTTTGTCACCTGGGGGTCATCCCCCCCTAAAAACCTAAGCACAGAGATGCATTCCCCTAAGATTCTCATTACCTGAGGGGCACACTCCCAAAAAAACGAAGGGGAGGACTACATTCCCTGGAGAAACTCATCTCCTGAGGTTGCCACCCCTTTATCACTAATCACCCCGGCGGGGGGGGGGTACAGTCCTCTAAACACCCATGAGTCCCTCACTAGTCACTCATCACCCACAGGCAACTTTTTGGCAAAAACCCCCTCCGAACGCATTCTCTCAGCAGCCGCCCCCTGAGACCCTCCCCTGGGCTGAGGGTGAACAGGCCAGACGGGCCCTGCCGTCCGAGGGTGACTGCTTTTTTTTAAGGGCCAGCTAATAATGATGTTCAGCTTTGTCAGCCAGACAGTCTCTATTGCAACTACTCAACTCTGCCGTTAGACTTCCGTCAATGAATGGGCATGCCTGTGTGCCAATAAAACTTTATTCACAAAAACAGGTGGCCAGGGGCCAGTCCCGTGGCTGAGTGGTTAAAGGTCCATGCGCTCCACTTTGGCAGCCCGGGGTTCACAGGTTCGGATACCAGGCACGAACCTGCTCCACTCATCGGCCATGCTGTGGAGGCGTTCCATTCCTCAAGCAAAAAAAGAGGAGGATTGGCGATGGATATTAGCTCAGGGCAAATCTTCCTCACCAAAAAAAAAAAAAGAAAACAAAAACAGATGGCCAGCCCACAGGCCATAGGTTTCCACTCCACTTCCTGGAAGCTTGTAGGGTCTTTTTGTCCTCGAGGTCTGAAGTCTCTCGACAGTGGGAAGTATTGTGGGTCACCTTGCCTTCTTCAGTTAATGTGTCTTGGCACTTGTTCCGTACGGCTGCCTCCTCTTTTTGGCTGCACCACACTCGATTGTACGGAGGAACCCCGGTGTATTTAAGCCGTTCCCCATTGGCGTGCGTTTAGATTCACTTCCAGTTTTTGGCGGCAGCAAGCTGTGCAGCAGTAAATAACCCTGTGGGCATGTCGTTTCCTCCTCCGCCGTCTGGAGGAGGATCCCTGGGGTAAGCAGTACGTGCATTTTGAAATTTAATATCCTGCTAACTTGCCCAGAGATTGCAGTTTGGAAAACCTCAGCCTTAACTTTTCATTTGGAAATAATTACAAACTTAAAAAGAGCAAAAACGGA